CGGTGTGGATGGGCATCAACCAGTCTGTTGGAGGCCTGAATGACATAAAAATCTGAGTAAGAAATATATATTTTTCTGCCTAACTGCTTTCAAGCTCAAACACCGGTTTCTCCACACTCAGACTTGAACTAAAACTTACGCCATTGGCTCTCCTGGTTCTCACACCCTCAGACTCAGACTGGAGCTTGCATCATTGGCTCTCCCAGTTCTTAATCCTACGAACTTATCCTGCAGCTGTGCCATTGGCTTTCCTTGGTCTACACCTTTCTAACTGCAGATCTTGGACTTCTCAGCTTTCATAATCATGTGAGTCAATTCCTTATAGTAAAGAGAATTTATTTATGTACATATGTATCTCAATTGTGATATTATACTACAGTTTTTCCAAACATTACCAGTAGGGGAAACTAGGGAAACATTTCAAAATGTTACCATTAGGGGAAACCATATTATTTCTTACACCTGTATGTGAATTTATAATTATCTCACTAAAAATTTGAATTAAAGAAAATATAAACAAAATAAAGACTTTCTCATATAAATAAAAACTGAGAGGAGATGATGCTTCTCTCAGACTAAACTTTGTCCTTAAGGCTGAATGGATATAAGACCAGACGGTCATTTGGATCCACAGGAAGGAATGATCTTAACCTATGTTTCCCTAGAAGTTATATATGCTATATATATTACATTTATATATATTATAGTAGTGTTATAATAGATAAATGTAATATATATAACAACAAAAGCACAAAGGAGGGGCAGGAAATAGAGCTATACTGGTGCAAAGTTACTACGTTTTACTGGAATTAAATTAATTGCCTGACATACGGTGCTCATAAGCTGTTAGTTCCCTTCTTCCTTCTAGAAAAGAGAAAGGTCATTTGGAGGTTAGAACCTGAAGGGTGAAACTTTATTCTTTCAAAATTCCACCCTTATTTACTTCCTCCATCCATAAACCAGCCAAATTAATGGGTCTCAATCAAAAGTAAGTTAACTGGGGCTGGGCGTCATGGCTCATGCCTGTAATCCCAGCACTTTGGGAGGCCAAGACGGGCGGATCACTTCAGGTCATGAGTTCGAGACCAGCCTGGACAACATAGTGAAACTCCATCTCTACTAAAAATACAAAAATTAGACAGGCATGGTGGTGCACATCCATAATCTCAGCTACTCGGGAGGCTGAGGCAGGAGAATCGCTTGAACCTGGGGGCAGAGGCTGCAGATTGCACAACTGCACTCCAAACTGGGCAGCAGAATGAGACTCCTTCTAAAAAAAAAAAAAAAAAAAAAAGTTAATTGGAAAGGGAGAGGGATTGAAATATTACCTACAGTGTACAGTGTTCACTCTCGGGCCCATGCTTCACCACTATGCAATATGTCCATGTAACAAACCTGCAAACGTGGCTCCTGAATTTATTCAATTAAAAAAAATAATAATGTAATGGGGCTAGGTACAGTGGCTCATGCCTGTAATCCCAGCACTTTGGGAGGCCAAGGCAGGTGGATCACGAGGTCAGGAGATCAAGACCATCCTGGCCAACATGTTGAATCCCCGTCTCCACTAAAAACACAAAAATGAGCTGGGCATGGGGGCACGTGCCTGTAGTCCTAGCTACTTGGAAGGCTGAGGCAGGAGAATTGCTTGAACCTGGGAGGCAGGGGTTGCGGTGAGCCAAGATTGCACCACTGACTCCAGCCTGGGTGACAGGGTGAGACTCCATCTCAAAAAAAAAAAAAAAAAAAAAAAAAAGGAATGATTTTTCACATACACGCATATGCATATGGGTGACATAGGGTTAGTAAAATTTCTGTGATGATTATAAGTGCTGGATAACTATTTAGGACTGCCTTCTAGCTGCTCTAACATGTTTTTAATAAATCTTACACTTGTCTTCCCCTCTCTGGAATTACAGTAACACTACCACCCAGATCTCCTGAGAAAAAGCCAATTCACTGAGTCATGACCAAAGATCCCCAGGGCAACCTGAGTACAGAATGCCTGCTTTTCAAGGGCCAGGTCCTGTTGCAACTACCCAGGAGGCCTGTTTGGTCAAACAAGTACAGGCACACCTCATCAAGCCCCTCACTGCACTGGATCCTTATCATGCTGTTAATGTTGGAAATATTATAATTTTTTTTTAAAAAAATTGTTTATTATCTATTGCTCTTCTGCAGAGTTTCTAATTGTGACATGATTAACATTTGGTGCCAAATGTGAGGGCTGTCCTGAGCATTAAAGGATGTTTAGCAACATCTCTGCCTCAACATACTAGCAGCTAGCAGGTGCCCCCACCTTGGAGGTGTGACAATCAATCAAAAATGTCTGTAGACATTGCCAAGTATCCTTGGGGGCAGTATCACTCCCTCCCCTGCTCTCCTGAATAGTGTGTTTAAAGACAGCTTCTTACTTCCTGATCCATTGCCCCTGAGGAGGCAGCACTGTAGGAAACTCTCAGCCAAGGAGCATCAACAGGCATCCCTACATTTCCTCTGCCTGAATGACAAGTGACAGTCTATTCATTTCTTCCTTCTTTTGTTATTTTGTTTTCTGATGAACAGATTTGATCACTCAAGCAGGCAAAGAAAGGAGATATCAAGGATAATGCTGGTGGACCCCTCAAGGTGCAAAAGAAGTTGTACCACAAAGATGTTGAAATGTAGGCTTCAGAGGTGCCTTCAAGGAAATAAATGTGGGGTAAACAGTAAAGATCAACAGATAATGAGAGGGTTGACCAACAATTGTATAAACTATAGTTAGAGAAAGCAATGGCCAAGGAATGAGTATCATGACTCCAGGGAATTTAAACAGAAAGAAAGCTACAGTTAACGTGCAAAGGTGGGGAAAACATTTCTGCAGGAACTAAATATGATGCTGATCCAGTTGGCACCCCTATTTTCAAAAAAGTGTCATTGCCACACACTCACACACACATACACACCTTGCAAAGGGCATGTGCCTATGTGTGCATTCACAATGTGTGAGGTATTTGAATATTTATTGAACACTTGTACCAGTTCTGGGAAAGTATGGTAAAGTAACATAATTAACCCCAATTTATAGATGAGAAAACTGAGGCTGGAAGAGGTTAAATGACTTGCCCAGCTCAAAAGCAGCTAGACTTGAATCAACAAGCAGAGAAAGAAGTACCACGTGATCTCACTTACAAGTGGCAGGGGCTGGGGGGTGGGAAGTATTGCAAAGGTGTTGGTGTGTATATATATATATATATACACATACACATATATATTTCAAAACATTATATTTTACATCATAAATATGTAATGTTCCTCAACTTATGATGGGATTATAGCTGAATAAACCCATCGTAAGTAGAAAATATCAGAAGTTGAAATGCATTTAATACACCTAACTTACCAAACATCATAGCTTAGTTGGGTAAAATCATCTAACACAAAGTCCTTTTATAATGAAGTGTTGAATATCTCATGTAATTTATTGAATACTGTACTAAAAGTGAACACAGGACAGTCGTATGTGTACTCAAAGGACTGCTGTTACCAACTGTGCATTGCTTTTGCACTGTCATAAAGTCAAACAGTGTAAGTCAAACCATTGTAAATTGGGGACTGCCTTTATACAACTTATATTTCTCGATTAAAAAATAAATAATAATAAATAAAGAAATGATAGAATGCTTTTTGAAAAACAATAGCTGGACCCAACACAACCTCAGATTTTAAATCTGAGGCTCACTAACTCTCACCGAAGCCTGCTGGCTTTGTCTTTCAAAAAAATTGGATCTCCAGAGAATCAAGGAAAGAAGACAGGTGGGAATGTGTTGGATTCCGGGGTGTGTGTCTAGAGCATGACCCTCTGAACCAGACAAGCTGGGCCTTCCTTCTACATGGTGCTTTTGATATTTCTATTAAAATATATACTACTGGAACCAACCCAAATGCCCATCGATGATAGACTGGATAGGGAAAATGGGGTACATATACACCATGGAATATTACACAGCCATCAAAAACGATGAGTTCGTGTCCTTTGTAGGGACATGGATGAAACTGGAAACCATCATTCTCAGCAAACTGACACAAGAGCAGAAAATCAAACACCGCATGTTCTCACTCATAGGCAGGTGTTGAACAATGAGAACACATGGACACAGGGAGGGGAGCACTACACACTGGGGTCCGTTGGGGGGAAATGGGGGAGGGACGGAGGGGTGGGGAGGTGGAAAGAGATAGCATGGGGAGAAATGACAGATACAGGCGAGGGGACAGAAGGTAGCAAACCACATTGCCATGTGTGTACCTATGCAACAATCTTGCACGTTCTTCACATGTACCCCAAAACCTAAAATGCAATTAAAAAAAAAAAAAATATATATATATATATATATATATATATATATATATATATATATACTGAGTCTGCTCCTCCTCAAAGTAGGTGACTGTTTCTGACTTCCAATGTGCTTGTGTGTGTGGTTCTCACAATTTTCTGGGAGCACCCAGATGGAGTGGGGGCAGCATCTAATACTTTGCCTGGTGCTGTGTGGGTACTTGATGAATCTTTGTTGAATGAATGAGTGATACCAGGGCATTGGAGCAGACAGACCAGGGTCTTAGTCTTGGCTCTGAAACTTGCTGTCCAGGTAACAATGATCAAAGTAGCATAACCTCCTCTCACCTACAAAATGGGAGTTCTAAGTGTTGTGGGATTCCTGTGTAGACTTAAGGGAAGCAATGTGTGCAGAGTATTTTGTATGATGCCTGGAAAAGAAAAGGTACTCAAAAATGGTTGCTATTCTTTTATTATTGGGAAAGGGGCTTCCACCCTGAAGTGGTACTAAAGTAGCCTGGGTGGCCAGATCAGATAAAGCCAGGAGGAGAAAGGCAGAGCCGTGCTTTGGCTGGACACTCTGTTCCAGAGGCAGCCCAGCCCCATGAAAAGCCTGAGTTCAGGGTGAATGAGCTGGATGTGGGGTCAGACTCCTCCCCTTGATCTTTTCTCCCTAAAATGGCAAACCCAGGCTGAGCCGCTGGCTGAGTGGCACCATGCAGCTTCGAGTCTCTCTCTCGTTTCTCCTGATTCTCACTCTCTGCCGAGAGCTTCGATCAGAACTAAATAAAGGTTGGTATGAAATGTGGGATCTCAAAGAGTAGGCTGGGAATCAGGCCGGGGGTGGGGGGTAGGGGAGGCAGTGCAGCATAAAGAGAGCCCATTTCTTACCTTACCAGACTGACAGTCAATTCAATTCAATTCACTTCATCAGATATATGTTGGGCACATAGTATGTGCCAGGCACTGTGCCAGGTGCTGAGGTTAAAGCAAGGAGCCTAAGACCCTGCCTTTGTGAAATTAAAATTCTAATGAGAGAGACACATACAATAGCTAATACACATGATAGATGATCAAAGTGCTATAGAAAATAAAATAAGTAAAGTAGGAAAGGGGGCCTTCAGTGTCTGGGGTGGGGCAAGGAGAGGTTGAGAAAGGGAAATCAGAGCCAGAATTTGAGGGTAAGGGACTTAGCCAAGTTAGATGCACTTGCTGGAAAAGGGTCCTGCCTGGACCGCTTTCTCTGTGGAAGCTTGGAATCTGCAAATGGAGGCGAGGAGATGAAATGCAGTTATATCTAAGATAATCTGCTGGAAATGGGGACAGTACACAGCAGTTCCCAAGATTTTTAAGCAGCCAGTAGGATTCCCTGTATAAAAATGCAAATTAGAATACACAAAAGGATAAGAAAGAAAGTAAAAAGTTATGGAAATCTTACCTTCTGGAGATTATCGCTGTCAGCATACCAGTGAACATCCCCATAAGTGCAAGGATAGTTCTCTGCATGTATGTACACGGAGCTATTAATGATAGATTCTTAGATATAAGTGGAAGCCTAAACCTCCCAATGACTCTATAGACAAGTGGTTCTCAAACTTTGTCCCCTAGTCCAACAGCAGCAGCAGCAGCAGCAGCAGCTGAAAACATACTAGTTCCCAGTCCCACCTTATCAGAAACTCTGGGGATGGGTCTCTCTAATGAGCCTTCCAGATGATTCTGATGCACGCTCAAGTTTGAAAATGTCGGCCTAAGATGAATGTAATAGTTTACAGGATGAGCACACCTGAAGTCACACACACCAGGGTTCTGGCCCTGGCTCCTCTACTTACAAACTCTGTGCCTCAGGAACATCATTTAGCCTCTCTGAGCATCAGTCTCTTCTTCTGTAAAAAAGGTTAATCATCTTTTCTGCTTTATTAATCAAATAGTCTGATATATGTCAAGCTCTCAGCATAACATAGCTTTTAATAGATTCTTGTAAAGCACTCAGAACAGCTTCTGTCACACTCAAAACACACACACACACACACACACACACACACACACACACCCCGTGTCATTATCTGCTTTACATAAAAAAGAAACAAGTTAAGTGATTTTCCTCTGGTTTAATGAAATGGAAGAGCAGAGAAGCTTAGAAACCTCTTAGGAAGAGCTGAGAAAATTAAGAGCAGATAGGACCCCAGTCCTTACAGAGTCACCTGTAAGGGTCTAAGGGCCGATGCTGCTGTGACTAGGATTTCTTAGGAATATGCCAACCTGCCCCTCCACCTCCCACCTTGACTGGACAAGCTATTCTACCTCCTTCCCATTCTCCTTCACCCTTAGCGTCAGCCTTGCAAGGTAGGAGGATAAGACAGAGCCTGAACCTTTCCAAGCCTTAGGCGGCTGCCTGAAGTTCCACCACAGGTGCGATCATTCATCTGTCCATTTACTCATTTTACAACCAAGATGGATGGAGAACCTACAAGCCTTTCTAGTTGAACAATGCTGGGTTTGATCCTTGGTCCTACTTGTTCCTAGCATGACATTAGGACAGGTATCTCATTTCTTCGGCCTTAGTTTCTTCATGTAATGTTGGAAGTTCTACTAGCTACCATGAAGAGTAAAACTGCCCAGATAGTGACAGAAAAATAAAAGGAGGGTACAAAGACACTTTTAAGCCTACCCAGAGGAGCTCAGTGGTGGGGGGGGGGGTGGCAGCAGCGATTTTCTAGTCACAAATATTTGCTGAGAACTAGGCCTGTGTTAGGCACTAAGGCTGCAGAAATGAGTACAAGGAGATCCCTCTTATCAAGAATCTTCTTGGTTAAGAAATAGAATGATTAAGAGCAGCTACTATTTATTGATTTATTTTCTACTTATCAATGCTTTTCACTGATAATCTCTAACCCTTCAATAAACAAAAAATGTGGATATTACACCTGCATTTTTGCAATGAAGGAAATTGAATGTCAATGAGATAAGTCATTTGTCCAAGATCACATAGCTAGAAGATAACTGAGACAAGCTTGAAGCCTGCTCTAAGATTCAAAGCCTATCCTCTTTCTATCATAGGATATCAATTCTAGAATTGATTATGAGACAGCAGGTAGGAACCTGAGGGTCTTTCTGATCAAATCCTATAAAATCAGATCTGGAAGGACACTCAGATGATGGAGTTCAACGCCTTGAAGAAATGGAGACTTGAAGAAGTCAGGCTTATACAACATCACACGGTAGCAAGCAGCTGCGCTAGGACCTCAATCCGCTTGAGTTGGATTCTCAAGCCTGTGATTCTCACCACATCAGGCTACCCTCAGAAGTGAAAATATCAGTGTCTGTGTAGACAGATCAGGCCATGGCTGGGTAGAAAGAGGTACAGAGCACAGCCATCATGGACAGTCTCACAATTGTACCCAGGGCTGTCACAGCTCCTGGCATATGAGGCAAACTAGGGGAAGGTGATGGGTTTGGTCTCCTTCAACCACTTTCTCTCTTCAGACAATATCAAGGATCTCCTCCCAAGAGTATGCCGTTTTCCTGTGGAAAAAAGCATTTGTCGAGCCTACTTTATCCGATGGTTTTTCAACTCTGAAACTGGTGAATGTGAGTCATTTGTTTACGGAGGCTGCAGAGGCAACGGCAACAACTTTTCGAACAAAGAAGAATGTGAGAAAACCTGCAAGTTCACCTGATTTTCTAATAAGAACACAGCCAGCCCCCGTGCATTTGGGATTGTTCTGAGGGCCATAGAAAGCAGTGTGTGTGTGTGTGTGTGTGTGTGTCTGTGTGTGTGTCTGTGTGTGTGTGTCTGTGTGTGTGTGTGAACAAGAGATTCATTCCTCTACCCCTACATTTATTCTCCCTGATATGCTCCTCAAAATGCTCCATCTCTGTGCCTGAAATTCTATAAATGTTGCAATCATGTTTAAAATCTCAAGACCTCCTTTTTAAAACGTGCACGTACTTAACAAATACACTGGGGAAATTTAGAGCAGCCATTCACACCTTTGTATGAATTACTGCTTAACTCTCTGGGAACTAAAGGTTTTGAAGGAGCGAGGGTAGATTTCAAAATCTAGGCATGATATTGGAAAGGCCTACATTGGACAAGGAGGGGATTTCTGGTGTCTTGTGAAATAACAAATGAGGAAACAACAGAAACCGGGGAAGAAAGGGGAATTGCGGAGAAACTGAAGATGTTTAATAATTTTTAAAAATAGTGATTTTTTTATGAAAGCTGTTATCTACGAAGGCGAAACTACATCTTCCTGCCAAGGGCTACGTCAGGAGAGAAGTGAGGAGCTCTTGTCCTGGAGTCTTTGGTTTGTTTTAAGCAACACCAATTGCAACAACTTCAATTACAAGAACTTGGAGGGAAAGGAGAAAAAACGCAGGAATCATTTCATTTATTTATTTCAAGACGGCCCATAGATGGGGAGGGCTTCTTTAAGATCATAGGGTGGGAATGAAACAGAGGCATCCTTGGCCCCACCAAAAGTCCTTTCCCATTGCATTGTAATCCCCCCAATCCATAATTTTTTACAGACTTCCTCTGGGATGGAGGGCAGATCTGAAGAGGGAACATTCATGTGGGCCCTCTCCTTTATTCACCGCTCTGATTTAGGGTCCTCCCCCAAAATCCAAGTCAGCTGCTCCCCATTGCCCAAGGAACAATAACTCCAAGCCATTATGCCAGGCCCCATGCTAAGCTCTTCATAAATAATACACATAAACCTCAGGGTAACTCTAAGAATCACATTACTACTCAAAGCATGCTCCAGGAACAGGTAGCTTCCAGGTCACGTGAGAACTTGTTAGAAATGTGGAATCTCATGACCAGTCTTGTAACAAGATTCCTGGGTGATACGTGGACTTGCTCAAGTTTAGGAAGCGGGGATACAACGGATCAGTCATGTTTCAAGGCCACACAGCTGGAAAGTGGCAGAGCTGCTCATTAAGTTCACGTCAGTATATTTGCAAAGTCCCTGGTTGTAATGGCTATGCCACACTCTGTCAGATCTCAGAATGTCCCCCATGGGGCTGATTTCCAGTTAAAGGTTTTATCAGAAAAGTTTTAAAACACCGAGTTATGCTGCCAAGACAACAAACACATCTCCCTTTTGTGGACAACACCGGGAAGCAGGATTCCTGGATCATCTTTGGGAAGAGTCTGAGACAACATCCTAAATGCCTCCCATGGCCGCTGTCTTCTTTTTCCAGGTTGGACAGCAACAGTCACATCAACCTACTGAGGACTTCCACAAAAGACAGATTGCCTTATTCCCAGCACCTGGGCTCCATTCCACCCATCCCACTCTCTCTTCCCTTCTCAACATTTTCACAAGGGCGAGCATTCGCCATGGCTAACCCCAATCAGATATTCTGTTTTACCAGAATGTCCTAGAAATTCCTGAATTGCTCAACACCTAAATCATTGAATCTAAGCTCTGTCTCCTACTCATGAAACACCAGAACTAGCTGGCCCTGAGATTCAGAAAATACGATCATTGTCTCTATAATTCAACTGTAGTGGCGTTCACCACCCAAACCTTGACATAGAACCCAAAATTCAGGTTCACGTACCCAACGAACAAGCTGATGCCAACATCGACACACAGGTACTTGGAAATAGAGAAAGGTTTACTTAATGTGGTCAAACAAGAAGGCAGGAGGGCAAGATCTCTCAAATTTGCCTTAAGTAAAGAAGCAGAGAGTTTTTATGTGGCTAGAGACTAAGAGAGGGGGAGTTTCGGGGAAGGCAAGGGGAAAAGTCTGTGCTTCTTCACTCTCAGATAACACCTGAAACAACCAGACTTCTGGAGTCAGCAGCTAGTCACAATGTCCTGAAATATAATTTATTTCTTCTTGTAAACTTTTCTGTGACCCTGAAGTTAACGCCTGCTGCTTGACAGAGAAACGGTACATCAGCAGTTTATAATCACATTGTGGGAACAAAGAATATTGGGCAAAGAGCAAGTGCAGGCACACAAGGGCCTGATCAGAATTTTCATTATTCCAGTCACTAAAAACGCTTGGATGCCGAGATCTCAAGGGGCCCAGTTACAAATCGCCACTATCCTTTTCCATTCCTCATTCATGCGGGAAAAGGGGTGCCATTCTTTTCTGGCTACTTCCTGCTGAAAGGGGGCAAAGGTGTGGAAACTGAAGAACGGAACCTGTCCACTTGAAGCTGAAAGTGTTCGCAGGAGCCGGACCCATAGCCTGCATTCTGGAATTCCATCATCTGGGTGCTCTTACCTATTATAGTCTTGGAGCAGCATGTTAATCCATATTTGATGATGACATTAATGAAAACATAAACTACAGTAACGATACAAGAGATAAGCCAAATGTAAAGATAATAGAAGATATAGATTGGATCCCTTGTGAGATCCAAGAAAACAGTCCAGAATACCAATCACCCAATCCTAGCTAATCTTTTATCTGTTGCCACCATAACACTTGCTCTCTTATTTTATCCATGTGCATTTCAACTT